AACAGAAGTTTGTAGGGTGTCACTCAAGCTATTTTCAAACTTTGGGTGACAACTGAAAAATAAACAAATCAGGTTAAAGTCTCTTGGAAGAAAGCAGAGGAGACTATTCTTCTGTCCTTGACCATTCACAGGTAAGCTTGAACCACTTTTTTGATATAAAACCCAGGAAACCTTTAGCAGAATCTATCACACAAATATTACACCCTGCTGAGAATTTTAAAACCAGCTTTGCCAATAAAAACATGTGCACAAATTAAGTTTCTTTTGTGGACTGAATGTACTTATTTGTCTATGTATATTTATGATGATACCCAAGCATTATGTAGAAATTAGCTATGCAGCCCTATTCTAAAATTCATGTAGGAAATAAAAGCTTTCAAAATATGCAGGGAAAGAAATCTTTTGACTACTACAAAAAACAGCTCTAAAAACTTGAGAAAAGAAAGCAATTCAAAATTTTTCCTATGCTTGAGCAGCATCAGGAATAATAGAAAGCTATGTGACACCATTCAGACAAACAAGTTGTTTAAAGTAAACTCCTAGTCAGGGGAATTCAGTCAGTCCTCCAGTTATCCTTCCCTTCAAATGTCATCGAGCTGGACGAGAAAGAGCCAATAGAAGAAGGAAGCATTTTAAGCCACATACTGCCACTTGCAGGTCAAAAGAAGTCCATGACAGCTAAATAAGGCAAGGATAGAAGCACACAAATTCATAGCCATGTAATGCAGGGTTTCAGAGAAATTTCTTAGAGGTACCTGGAAGAATTTAATTGACATCCTCAAGAGAGAGCAAGTTTGAACAAAGCTAGCTTTGTCACCAAGAAGGAAGTGCCTAGCAGCAGTCATATCTCTTAGAGTAACTGGAGCTGTATGTTCAGGTGACTGGTGACTGGTGGCACAACAGGATGTCCCGGTTTCCACAACACAGGCACAAGTGCATGGAAACATTAGCATGTTGAGAAAATGCTCTTGGACACAGCATATTGTCAGCTTGGGACTGTATCAGGGTGAGTCCTGGGCTTGGGGAAAGACAACGTGCTTTCAAACCATCTCAATCTCTCCTCAGGGCCTCTCTGAATCTTGGTGTCAGTCCATGCTGCCTTGGGACAGGTCTACACTGCACTAACAGCAGCATTTCCTATGGGGTGGCTCTGCTGGCTTGATGTTGTGCCCTGTTCTTCCCCTTCGCTGAGGGAGAAGTGTAGATTTGACCATTTAGGTTTCTGCTCTGAGCTACTTTTCTGTAAAAAAGGTGTCTGTGAGGCTACTCATGCCAAGGGCTTGACTCCTCACCAAGAGAAAAAGCAGCAGTTCAGGCTATGGGTTTCTCCAGGCATGATGTACAGAGGAAGCAAGGGAGGACCAGCAGTCAGGAGGGGAAGAAGGGCAGTAGACCTGCCATTCCCTGCCCACCATGGTGCCTGGAGCCTCAGAAGCAGGCAGAAGGGCTGGGAGGCTGCAGAGCCAGGGTGACACTAGTTCAGTGCATCCCACTTGGCATGCTCCTGAGGCTGAGGTCCAGCAGAGTTCCATCTCAGGTGGCACTTTGAAGCTGCTGGTTGCATTTGAGCAGCCCACGAGGGCCCCTGTGCTGTCCTGGGCTTGAGAAACAAAATACAGCAATGTTGCCTCTGGGTCTATGTCACAATTTATATTTGAAGGGAATTCACAGACTTTCTGCTGAGTTTGGAGGAGGCACAGAGAGAAGAAAACTGAGTTCAACACGTATGTAAGAGGTGGCCCCCATCTCACAGCAGGGATGCATTCCTGCTGACATTTAAAATTAGTAACTTGTCAATGGCACCTCAATTTCTCCATAAATAACATATTCTGGCACATCCATATTATGTCTGAATGATGACATCACAGTATCATTCTAGCCATAATTTGGGCTGATGTAAAAAGTAAAAGTAGTAAGAAGTATGAGATTATGAAAATATTAATTTCTTTCCAGTTAGTAGGGTGATCAAGCACTGTACCACTTCAGTGAGAGAAGACAATCTGGGATCTGTGCCCTGGCTCATGTGCTGCTGTACTCTGATCTGCTCAGACAAGTGGGAAAGAGAATTTTTTTATCTTGTTGAAAAGGTGAGTGAACCTTCTTGGCTTTGGTTTTTAAGTGTAAGGCGAGCTTATTGAACTGTTTCCCTGAAGTATTTTAAATAGAAGAGAAGCGAGGAAGCTTAAATAATGGTATTCACTAAAATAAGTAGCAGTAATAAAAATTTTGTGGAATTAACAGAACATACTACTTGATGTAAAACTTAATTTCTCCATTTTAGTAGTAGATTATACATATTTCACTCATTGACAGAGAGATAATCATACAACTTAAGCTCAGTGTCATTACTCAGTATTTTCAGATCATTTCATTCTTGCAATCTTTGTAATTAAGTATTTTGTCTTAAGCATTCTAGAGCAGTTATAAATGGTTTACATTTGTATAGGATTCTCCCTTTGGTAGAAATTTGCTCATTTGTAACATGACTTAAAATTCTGCTGAAAAGGTCTGAAATTAAATTATAAAAAAAAATATTTTCTATGTACAAGCATACAACATTAATTTGAAGACTCAAAGCATTGTGTAGCTCCAGATTTATTTTGTTTATTATGACTGTAGTAGAGTATTTAAATTTCAAAGAATTTTGGCAAGTCTATATTAGCACAAGTACAACAGCATCTTAGGCAAAACAACAGCGTATTGGGCTTTTCATCATTTTCTACCATTAGCCTTTCCAGAAAAAATACTTACAATCTTGATATTTAAATGGAATACATGTATTAAGTTGTTTTTTTTTAAAAGTCTTGCAAGAGTGGATGAAAATTATATTTGAATTTGTACGTTTTTCAAGCTAGGTCTCATTTCTACTTCCGTATCAGTCAGCCACTCAAAGGTATAGACACCTGTCATTCAAGCAATTAATGGAAAGACAAACCACATCCTCACAATCTTTCCTGAAGTGCTGTACATAGCCTGGCTGTTTGTAACTCTCTGGTTAAGAGGGACTCAAAGAGTATAAACACATTTGTTCTGCACACCACAAAGTTCCATTAGTGAGCTTCGATTGCTCTCAGATACCTCAGACCACGTCTGGTTTGATGCCGCAGGCATCAGAGAACTGCGTCAGATTTCTGTGACCAAAGGGTGTGGGAAAATAACAACAGTCAATTAAACAAAACCTTGCTCTGTAACCTGAGCATAAATTTGCTTCCCAGAGCATGGCTGAGCCATTCAATTCTCTAGAACCTACATCTGATGAAATTGCTTTCCACTTTCCTCATGCTACAATTTAGCTCCTTCCCGTATCTTCTGTTTCGGGATCTACATATTAGATGGCACTAATACTGACCCTACAAATGAAACAAAAGAAAAACTTTCCAAGTTAAAAAAGAAAACAAAAAACAAAACAAAACCAAGGACTTTGACTCCCTACAAAGAAAAGCTAATGAGGAAATCTAGGATAATAAAAGAGAAGCCCTGAGCACCTGGAATTCTTCTGTCAGGTTCTTAGGTTGCTAACACAAATACAGAACAATTGAATCAGAGCAGGCTTCCTTCTGGTTTTGGACAGCAGTTACCACATGTTTTTGAAAAATGTACTGTGTACATCTAAGTCTTGGCCCTGTCCCATTTCATACATGCTCAGGTCATGCTCTCAGCTGCCCACCCCCACAAAGAGTCAATCGTTAACCTCCATGGACACATCAGGGTCCACTGTGCAGAGCTCATTCTCACACTTTCTTCTCCTTTCATGCCATTCATTCTTCATCTGTAGCTTAGTATGCTGCATTATATATGCAAATATTCGGCTTCAGTGGTCCAACACTCTGTGAGCCAAAGAGGCCAGAGATTCTTTTTGTGAGGTTAAATTTCACAGAATTTTTGTGCCATGAGGGAAGAACCTGCTACTGACTAAACAATCTGAAGTAAATGTGCTCTGCACAAAGTAATTGGACAGATTTTGGCAGAAGTTTTCTCTGAAGCCCTAAGACACAGTGCTATAAAAAGTAAGCTGAACCGCCAGAACTATTGATATTTCTTTATCCATTTTCAAGTCAAAGCTGTCACATAGCCTCCTTTGGAGGATTATAGAAATACTGGATTATAGAAACAAGTCCCAGCTGATCAAGATGCTTGTTTGGGATGTGAAAGAGGTGAAAATTTGGACCCAGGATTCCTCCATCACAGAGGAAGCTGTCAAGGTTTTGTAGAAGAGATGTCTGAGGGCTTACAGCAAAACAGGAAATTAAAGTTGAAAGTTGGACACTTCGCAGAAAGAACAGAAAAAGTTCCCACCCTATTGCACTACCCCTGTTGCAGAATGCACCTGCTTTTAGGTGCCAAATTTCTACAATTACATCTTTTTCTCCCCTATGGAGATTGTAGCTGGCCCCAGTCCAGAACTGAGAAATCATTTTGAGTTTTTACACAGATTAGTAAAAGTTGATTTTTTTTTTAAATGGGGGAAGCGCAGAGAAGACCATGAAGTTTCAGTTTGAGCTATAGAGGACACAAATCAAAATGTATTTCACAAACTCAGACTAAGATTTTAAAGGTTATGCCAATTTTCCAGCTTAAATGTATGTTCAAACCCTAGGCCACTGCATCTGTATTAAGAAAACTAATTTGGTTCCAAAGGAAGATTTAAAAACAACAGTAAGACAGGCTCATAGTGTGAATGTGGCAACAAATGAGAAATGCCTTAAGCCCAGAAAAGTGTTTAAGAGGCAATTATAATAACCTCAGAAAGTTCAGTAAACTCATAACCTAATAACCAATAATCTCAAGAAGTTCAACAAGGCCAGGTGCAAGGTCCTGCACCTGGGTGAGGGCAGTCTCATCCCCTAATACAGGCTGGATGAAGAATGGATCACGACTAGCCTTGGGGAGATGGACTTGGGGGTGTTTGTGGACAAAAAGCTCAATATGACTTGGCAATGAATGCTCACAGCCCAGAATTCCAACCACATCCTGGGCTGCATCAAAAGAGGGGTGACCAGCAGGTTGAGGGTCATGATTTCCCCCCTCTACTCTGCTCTAGTAAGACCCCACCTGGAGTGCTGCATCCAGGTCTGGGGGCCCCAACAAAACAAAGATACTGACCTGTTGGAGCAAGTTCAGAGGAGGCCACCAAGTTGTTCAGAGGACTGGGACACCTCTCCTATGAAGACGGACTGAGAGACTCGTGGTTGTTCAGCCTGGAGAAGAGAAGGCTTCAGGGAGACTTTATAGCACCTTCCAGTACCTAAAGGGGGCCTGAGAAAGCAGGAGAGGGACTTTTTACAAGGGTGTGTAGGGCTAGGACAAGGGGGAATGGCCTTAAGCTGAAGGAAGGTAGGTTCAGATTGGATATTATGAAGAAATCCTTTACTGTGGGGGTGGTGAGGCACTGGAACAGGTTGCCCAGAGAAGCTGTGGATTCCCCATGGCTGGAGGTCTTCAAGACCAGGCTGGATGTCACACTGACTAACCTGGTCTAGTGGAAGGTTCCCTGCCCATGGGAGGATGGTTGGAATTAGACAGTCTTTAAGGTCCCATCCAACCCCAAACATGCTATGATTCTATGATTCTAATTCTTATGAATTATATGCAATTTCATAGGCGCCATTTAAAGGTAAAAATATAGTGGTGTAGTGTGCAAGTGTCAAGAACACTTAAAAGCCCTATTAGCCAAGAAAGGAAGAATAAAATTTTAGGATTTTTCATAGGTAGCAGAATAGTTTAAGACAAATATAATATATTCTTGTATAGAAAAGAACTAATGCTTCACTTGGACTTGGCTAGAGTGGATAGAATGATTTAGCTTAATTAATTAAAAAAAAAATCATGAAAGAAAGGAATTTTTTAAGTGTTTGGGGCCAAGAAGCAGCTTTATTCTTCTATGTATTTAATACAAAGACATTTTTCACAGTTCAGTTATCCACTTCTAGGACATTTTGAGTTCATTGTTACTTTGAAGGCCACTATTCTGAATGGGGAAGAATACTTAAGAATATAATTTTAAATCTTAGAGAGTGAGGTTGAAATGATCAATCATCTCAGTTTAGCATAGTGGCTGGTACAAAATAAACCCCCTAAATAAGAATGTTTTTCTGAAGTAGTTTAATGCCAAAGAAGCATTTCTGATTATGTCACACCTCCTGTATTAATAGAGCAAGGTGTTTTGATAACTATCTTTGACCTATCTAGTTAAAGATGTCTTATAAATGTTTCAAGACAACCAGTAGAGCATGAAGTCTGGGATTATGCAACGCTATCAGTTCAGAAGTGTGTGGTGCTAGTTTGATTCCAAGTCTCATAGATACTGATGCATTACTTAGCATCTCAGCTCCTGGTAACAGAACATCAAGTTTGTTTGTATGACAAGGAAACCTGTAGCCTTCCTAGTCTGGAATTTCATCAAGTACACCTGGAAGTTTCCAAAGACAAAGAGAACCTAACATATCTCAAAACACTAGTCTGAACCCTGATACTTGAACATTTGCCTCTTCAGGCTAATCCTTCAAATTCAGTTTCTTTTTGCAGTTAAGTAAAGAGTCACTTTCCTTCTGCATCCAGCAGGACTCAGCAAGACTGAGTTGCAGACAGTGCCCCACTGCTTCACTTTTTGGACTGTCAGGGAGCCAAGTCCTCTGACTTTTTCTCCTGTGCAGTTAACAAGAGAACAGGCCAGACACTGAATCTCTCTGAACGAACAGCTGAGAGCTCCAATCATGCCAACATGGCCGGCTCCAACCTAGACATGTTAAATCAATCTGGACTTGTCCTGGCTTCTGCAGAGCTCTTTGGCTATAGCTCCACCATCTTCCCCCAGGTTTGAGATTATGGTCCCTCAAAGCCAGCTTTGGGCCAGTGATGCTTCATTTGATCTCTATTGAGGCTAAGCTAATAAGCCTAATGGGACCTGAACTGCTCTGCACAGGTTTCCAGTTTTTCAGTCAGTGGTTTAACAGCTACAATGGAGAGCTGAGTGTCCTGGTATTTAATCTGGTCAGGTACTCAGCACCTCCTCTCTCAGACACTGTTTTTGAGGCCCCAAATGTCCAGCCCTTTAAAGAACAGGACAATGTCCCATTTATTTTGTTTTTCTAGTTTTAAATCCTGTATTAATGCTGTACTTGTTACTTGACCAGCGAAATAAGACTGTGACTATTATAAGTCAATGCTTTGGAAGCCTGGGGTTTAATACTTCATATAAATTCTGGCACCACTCAATTTCCTCAACAACATGTTCTCAGAGCTGACTGAAATTCCAAGGGGGAAAGAAGAGTTTCCCATACATTAATGGGATATGGAAAATGCCAGCTCTACCTCTGAAAAAGTTTTTTTAACCAGATGTATAGTTTTTCTCATCAGTAAACTGAAGATGTATGCATTTTCTGTTGCAGATGCAAATGTAACATTTGTATGGATCAGTAAATACTTTTCCACTGCAATGTAAATACGCTTGACAGTTTGAATCTGCCATGAATTTCAGTGATAATTATGCAAATGCCATACAAAACCAAAGAAAAGCAGTTTCTTAAATATTCATGAGGGAATGTTTATGTTACAATTATAGCAAGATACATAATATTCAAAGTATACTGACCATAAAATGTCTGTGACAGCTCTATTCTGCATGAACAGTTAGGAATACTCAGTGCCATCCTTCATACTTGTAGCCACAATAATTATTACAAATCATTCTAGTTAATCAGTCTCCAGGGGTACGGCTGTGTAGTCCATTCCCACGAGCTCCAACAGCTAAATATGTACTGCCACATAGACTTCCAGAATGTTACTATATATGTGTCACCACTGCTGTATGCCATAGAGGGTTGCTTGAGGACATGCTTAATCTGAAGGAAAAGGCATTATCCGTGATAAAAGCATCTTGCATTTTCTGGGCCTTTCAGAGTTCTTGGGAAAATTCTCATATCATTTGTATGTTTGCAGATTTCAGACACACAGGTCTCCCACCACTGAAACAGCTTTTGTTCTTGGGATACAGACCTCTCTGAACAAGAGTTTCTTGACTCTTTCTCTTCAAGTCAATGTGACTGTTGTCACTGAATTGTTGGCAATCTTGTTAAAAAAAATCAGCAACAATGCACCATCAGTTTTTGGCTCCTCTTCATTGTTTAGAGGACCTGGTTGTTTCCTAGCAAGGTTTCAGTGCTGTTTCAATAAGATCCCACTATGAGCCCATCTGGAATACCCACTAAAGATGTGGAAGTGTAGCTAGTAATAACCCCTTTAAAAATAAGGGGAATGTTTTTCACTGAGGTCCCTGGAAACACAAACAAGACTATTTACCTGTAATTTATTCTCTGTCCCTTTCATATCCCTGTGATCAGGATTCCAGGTTTTCAGATTAACCCATGATTGATGATCAGAAGCCTGGCCTCTACACCAGGCCATTACCTCAAAGAAAGTGGCTGTATACCAAGACTGATGTGAACTAAACTTGTGCGAGCCCTGACACTGCAACATCAGAGATTGGAAAGAAGAACGTGGATTGACAAAGAAATAGACCCTTGCCTCAGAAAGTTTCATGCAATCTTCCTCTTTTATCTAAATTGGTCTTCACCAATGGAAGTTGGTTCAAGGTTGTCACATGAGGAGGAAAGAGTAATAAAATATCATATACATGATATAATCTTTACTGCACATGAGAGGAAGAGTAATAAAATATCATATACATGATATAATCTTTACTGCAATGAGGGGAAGAGTAATAATATATCATATACATGGTATAATCTTTACTAATACTGTTAATGATTCTCTCCCTGCCAACTGATGTCAGCACCAAATTAAAATACAGACGTAATCTCTAATCTCTAATCTGATCTCACCATTCCCTCCATATTTCAGTATTGCAATAGTAGAGACTATTCCTGAGATGAACTTCCAGAACTTCTGTTAAAGTTTTTGTGTCTGTGTTAAATTTTGTAAGACTGACCTGTATTAACAATAATACTGATCTTTAACACAAGAATATCTAAGAAACAGGACATACTCTGACTAAATTAAACATCATTGCATCCTTTCAACCTAGACTATATGTCTTCAAAGTATGAAAGAAATAAATGAAATTTTCTGATATAAATATGTACTATATGAATGTTACTTGGTTTAGACAGTACAGAAAAACTGGCTTGATGCTATGAGTATATATCTTACTTTGTAACATATAGGAAACATCCTTTTGCATCTGCAAATATCTCTGTATTTATTGTGCTGTAAGAGTGTCTAAAGAATCTAACAATAAGCTTTAGTATGACAACAACTGTACAAATTCAAAGTTCTGCCTCCAGAAGATTTTCTTGCTACCCTTACGTTTGGATTCAGGGGTAACACATCCCTCAGATAGTCTAGTATAAGACAGAGGGCAGTGTTCAAGAGGAACGTAAAATACAGACAAGGGCAATAGGGTACACTGATCTCTTGAGGGAGCCCTCATTTTACATTTTACAAAGGAGCACATTCAGTGCTAGTCCACAACAGTAGTAATAATCAGCAACTGTCACTTTTGTTAGCAGGAAGCAAAAAGCCCCTGTGCCTCTGGCATTCACCTCTGTTCAGAGATCCTACTCCCCTTCAGACAGTGACCTGCACCAGCAAGCAGTTTCCCTAGCCCCCTTATCAGCCGCACAAGCAAACTCAGCACTCATCTTCTGCTGCTCAGATTGTCAATGAAGCACCCAATTCACTGCTTAGGCAGGCAGCAGAGGTCAAATAAGCACTCTTTGGGTCATCCAGGATCTGTTTTCCTCATCTTCCCACAGCTACTGCATTTGGGTGTCAGAATCACAACCCCCACAGAGCTCCTTTGAAAGGAATGATCCATATAGTCCTTGCTTCCTGCAGGTTCCAAGGGCTGAACCATTTCCTCCTCTCCAGATCATGTTGCTAATACAGTGTGTGCAATACAGTTCCCCCAAAGGTGTTCCCCACCATGGAATTTACCAGGTATATGGTCTTACTGCACCTGTGCAGCTTCTCTTCCTGTAACCCTGAAGTCTTAACACACTCTAGAGATTAAAAAGCTTTTTTTTCTCCCCAGAACGGATGACTTAAGTCACTACTTACATAGTGCACTCACAGAAGCTCTGTGGTGCCTACATCTTCCACATGCTTTGAACATCCTCACAACTTCCAAGGCTCCCAGATGAGGCATACCCTGTGAGCAGCTATTCTCCCAGCCAATCCAGCCACTTCTGCAGCCTGACAGAAATTGCAGTGTGCATGCACACAATCTTTCAGCTCCACTAGGAAAAGCAGAAAAGGTGGGTACAACAGGCGAGAAGTCAGTCTCTCAGCCATTGTATCCAACTCTTCATACTTTTCCAGTATCAAAGCAAAAGCACACTTTGTGGTGGTTTCTAGATCTGCACAGGTGGCAAGGCTACACTGAAGGAATCCTGAATTCTTATTGCCACTGACACATTTCTCCACTGTTGTCCCACACAGGTGAATAATCAAGGTAGTTCATTAGAAACAGGACAATACAGCATATTAGGTAGGTGACTCTGCCAACCAGGTCGTTCAGAACCAGCTTGAGTGTCCCTATGCAGCTGTGTGCAGTGTATAGGCCAATCCACCACAAATTATCACTCAAATGGGAATGCAAGGTTCCCGATTCACAGTGTTGTTAAGGAGTTGAATCCTTTTCTGATTCGTATATATTCCACATACACAACAGCCATGCAGAATTTGCTATAACAATCATACATTTTTCAAATAGCTATCAAAGTAATTTGCATATCACACTTTTTCCTGCCCTTGCATTTTCTTATCTCTGGTGCATGTTCCATCTGTAATTTAGATCTTGCCAGGTGTTGCATGGCTAGAGGTACTTTACATTTCTTAAGGGAATCTCTTGCTAAGCACATTCCTATTTGCAACTTGACTTTTTCCTTCCTTGTTTTGAAATCATTGCTGCTGATCATGGTAATCAGCACTTTGGCAAAGTTTCCTATTCTATTCCTCCTCAAAGTCCTCATTTAAGATCTCTTGGCAGCGTTAGAAATGTGGAATCTCACCTACCCTCCCCTACCTCAACACACAGTAGCCATTTCAACGCTTTTCAATAAACACAAGCCATTTTTTCACCTTTGTGTGAAGCCTTGAGTGCACTAACTGGTCTTTATGGCCCTGACTAGCCTCACCTGGTACCCCCACCCACATCCCTACCTGTTGGATATTATATAGGGTCAGGATGGGCTTTTATTCCCTTCTTCAAACTCTGTCACAGCCTGTACCTGGTCAAGGACTCTCACACTGTGGACTGACTTTTCCACTAGACCTGAGCCCCGCCTCACCACGGTTAGCATCCATTTGGTGTCCTCGTGCTCTGTTAGAAATCTCCCTTTTAAGAGTGGGGACTTTCCTTAAGGGGGGGTTAAGTTTTTGGTGCTATAACAAGGAAGTCTATGGCTTTCTCTCTGAGGAATGGTAGCTTCTTCCTTGACATCAAAACCAGCCTACTATGAAGTCCAAAATTGTAGCCAAGGAAATAATTAGGGTTTGAGGAAAAACCTACCAGTCCTGAAACACGCTAAATATCTGTTGTTTGGCTATTAGGGATGGAGTACGGAGAAAGGGAGGATTTCAATCTTAAATCTAAGTTACTTGAGGACGAAGAAATGCTTTCAGCGTGTAGTCAAACTCCAAGGCTATGCTCTGTTTTATTGTACAATGTTACTTTTTATTGGTTTGTCTTCAGTTAACACTACTTAAGAATTTGGAGCTGTAATCGATTTACTTGTTTTTAAGTACCTTGCATAAAAGTATCTAATCTCAGCAGAAGCCCTCATATGCTGATCTGTAAGATTCCAGTAATGGATGTGACATCTCATGATGCTGCCATACATATGCTGTGGAAATATGTATTAATTCAAAAGTCACAATGCTGTACCAATTTTACGATTGGCTCAAAGGATGTTGGCTCCTCTGTTTATAATGTTAGTGGGAGCTCTAGTACCCTGTTTCTGGTGGCAGGTTAGGCAGTGAAGGGGCTGTGCAGAGGTTAAACCATAGAATCATACAATATGCTGAGTTGGAAGGGACCTGTCAGGATTATGAAGTCCAACTCTTGACCTTGTACAGGACACTCCAAGAATCACTCCATGTGCCTGAGTGTTGTCCAAAAAAATTCTGGTCATTGAAACTGAAGTCTTGTATCATCTGTCTTGTACCCAGGTATAGAAATAACAGGAGAATATCTTATAGGAGCATTATGATAAACTGATTTATTCTTTTTGCACTGAGACTTCCAGAATATGAAAACTAAGCACTGTACTAATCATTGTTAGCATAACTTTAGAAAAATGATATGTCAAGTAATTTATTTCTTTAAAACAGTGCAAGACAGGTCTCATGTTGCTCCTATGAAATGCACATTGCCTTTGTTCATGGCACTATTTCCTTCTGCTCATTGTTCAGATTACACTCTCATTCAGTGTCCTAGCAGTTGGTCAATATGAACATGAGTCTTTGATTTGACATCCTTCTTTTCCCAGCAGAAAATTAATCTACTTATGATATTTCTGATTTGCTAAGTCAGAGTAACAGCATGTTTTGCCTGCTTGGAACCCAGCATCTCATGTCAAGACAAGCTGTGCTACCTGCTGTGCTGTCTGATATGAAAAGCCTGCAAGCTTTTCCTGTGAACTGCTTCCTAAAGAATGAGAGTTTTATCATTGTACTGTCCACCATTTGGAAACTGCCACTAAAGACAGTACTTTAGCCCTGGGCATGGAAAAAGGCTTGTAAGCATCTCTACTAAACAGCTCTCTTCTGCAAGTGCTCTCTCCTGGAAGCTCTTTGCAAGACACATTACTGTTGCTTACTGGAAAACTCACAAAAAAAGGACAAAATTAAGACCTTGACAAGAATTATTATACAGGTGTATTGTTGAACAGGACTCAGAGACTGAACACAGGCAGTCATGGCCTAATAGAGTTGAGGAAAACAACTTCAGATGGCATGAAAAAGCAACTGACATAAGTGTACCTCTCACTGCTTTGGAAAAGTGATCACAACAGGAATAATGTCAACAAAGTGTGAACTAGAATCTCACAGTCATATTCTAGAAAGTACAGCACTTCACTTAGAAATACCAGAATAAGTATTGAGGATCTGAACAGCTAAACTTTTAGGTGCCTATATATTTTCTTGTAAAAGATTCCTGTGTATATCACGATTTTGAGCATTTTAATGGAGTAGGTTCTTTTTTCATTACAGAGAAGTAACTCAATAGCTATCAGGCGCAAGCAATGGAACAGTTTAAGTTATGTAGTAATGAAACACAGCCTAGCTCTAAAAATGACTAGGTAAAAAGAAGTACCACAGTTCATAAAAAGTACATTTGGGAACTGGAATGATTGAGTGCACCTTAAGTATTAGCAAGATTACACATTTAACTTCAGAACAGGATGGCAGAGAAACATCATTCTCCTGCTTACATGAGCAATGTGCGTCACGTAAGAGGTCATAAGAGTAAGATCTTGTCCTTTTAGTCTTTTGGTGCTTTTTTAGCAAAAACCACTACTGAAGGATATACCTAAAGCACAGAATTTAACAGTCACAATGCTGGGCAATCTCCCCAACAAAACAGCATTTGAAACTTAGGGCCTTGTTTATACAACTTTGAGCTTATTTAGCTGAAGGTCTCTTTTCAAAATCTTTCTGTGGTAATAAGCATTCATATCAGTCTATTTTTTAGGCTAGTTCCACTTTTCATATGTGAGAACACTAATGCTATTTCTTTGCAATTTGACAACTATTAGAGCCACTCTTGGTGAAAGAATAAAGTCCAGCTACATGTAATAAGATAGAACCATTTCTAGCATTTCAAAATGTACTGGTGAGTCCTGAGTAAACTATTAACATGTTTAACTGGAAGACTAATTGCAATACTATAGTACAGGAATCCCCCTGAAAATGAGTACTCAGTTTCCATTTCAGCAATATGCTGCACTTAGAACCAACAGTTGTGACTACCTATACTCAAAATACTGCAAATCTATCAGCACAAGTCTAAAACAGGACAGTTTGCACAGCCAGGCACATTGATTATGGCTTGCTCACTGCCACCTTCATACAACTGCAAAATCATCTGTTTTATGCTTCTGGGCAGTGAAGAGAACAGGAGTGTTAAATCCAGATGTTTTCAGGTAAATATGGGTGGGAGGGAGCACAGCCTGGCTTTTCCACTCCAGTCTGAGTGACTGGCCAACAGTGGAGTGGATTATCTTCTCAGAGAAGCTAATGTGAAAAAAGGGAAACAATACTAAATCAGGAGGAAATAATTTTATTCTCCACACCTGTTCTTCATTCGTATATAAGTGAAACATCTGTTCCTATTTATGAATGGGCAATGAAGTTGTCACAGAGTAAGACAATGGAAGCTTGTCCTCATGAGAATAGCAAAAGTACCTTTTCAAGATAGGCAATTCAGGAAAGCAGCACGGGATTCCATATTCTGGAACAGGAAGGTAAATCATAATCTGATACTAAAGTCCTGCGGCACATTTCCAATGCTGCTGGGTAACTTTAGCTCACAACTTTTGGAATTTGATTGTACAGAGTGTAGAAATAATCACACAGCTTTGGGGACAGGCATAAACACAGGTATGGTCCTGGCTGCTCTTACATTGACGGGAGATGCACATGAGAGGCTGAACGTGGAAAAGGAAATTGAATCTGAAGTGGTACATATCTGTCATGGAGTCACACAGGTGCCAAAAATAGACCAACCAAAACCAACCAGGTTGCCTCATTAACTGCCCAATCAGGGAAATATTTTTACATATATCCAACCTCTACAGCACATACATAGAAATCTCAGTCATCAGGCAAGTTCCTTTAGCCATCACCTCCTTTGACCACTCTCTTCCCAGTGCTTTTATTCAGAGCAGTTGAAGCCATTTCCTCTGCTCCCTGGTCATTGCCTGGCTTCACCTCTTGCTTTCTGGGTGAGGTCGTAAATCCCAGCAGATCAAAGGATTTAGAACTGTATTTAAGAGACTAGTTCATGCTGTTCCCAGGGGGAAGGCAGCTTTAGTGATTTGCTGAATAAAAGCACTTTCTTTCCCTTGTTACAACTGTTTCTAACACTCCTAAAACTGTGGATGTGTGCTGGAAAACACTCGAGAAGCTGAATTTTATAGTTTTCCCCCTGGAAGAAGGCATTGATGTGTGAGGGTCTTTACTGACCCCAAAAGAAGAGTGCAAAGGCTTTGAGGAGACATTACATTTAGCACTGCAGAAATGAATCAGGGACAGTAGAAATGATGGTCTGTCTGAATTGAGCTAATTCCTAAGGACTTGTTTAGCAGACAGTATTGACAGACAGCATCCCTTATTGGGATAGACGGTACTCAATTTAGCTACTCAGAGGGGCTATGATACAGGCCTGAATGTGGGATACAACACTTGGGAGAATCTCTGGTGCTCTGGCCTGGGTGAGGCTGTGGGATTAGTGCTGAATTTTATTTTCCAGAGGAATGACCAAGTCAGATATCAGAGTCATCCTCTGAGCCCTACACGTACAGTTATCAAATAAAAGGCACTAATAGACCATAGAGATAATTTGCTTGGACAGCACTACCGATCACGTGCATGACCTGAAGCAACATAACAACTTTCCTGTCAGCAGGACTTTTTCGGTATATTGCAGGAGACAGAAAGTCCTGAGTCTTGCTATATACTGTAGGGAAGGGCTGGCACAAGGGGAGTGCGGACAACCAGCACAATGTGGCAGTGGCAATAATCCAAATGATCGGGGAAGCATAACCAGAATCTTTTTGTTAAAATGAAGCTGTGTTTCTGTCTGCAAGCCTAGATATAGTCGGGGTATGATACTGGTTTTGATAGGATTTCAGGAGTGCAGAACTGCAACATGTAATAATAGAAGCTTTCAGGATAACTATGAAAAGCAGGTGCTGACTTTTCTTTTTACTGCTTACATTTTATTGCTGTTTCCTTGCAAAAATATTAAATTAAATTATAATTCTGGTGTTTTGGTTTTGTGGTTTGTTTGGTTTGGTATTTTTTAGTTATTCAATTTTTTTTCTGGAGATTCAGCGTTAAATTAGATGCTTGAGTTCACTAGGAAGCACATGAAAAACTGGGCTGCTTGTTAAAATGTTTCATGTGAATCTGGGAGCCTCGGCTGAGTGTGTGCCAAAATATTGCCACAGGACAGTAGGGAACAGCTTGTGCAGCAAGTTAAACTATAGTAAGTCTGCCCGAAGACAAGGCTCTGAACTCTTCTTTCTCTCCAGTACTAATGTGCAGCTTCCTCTTAGAGGAGGATAAGTAAGAAAACCAAGCAGAAAAAGGCCTATTTCTGTAATTAGAACATTTAGGGGGTTTTACCTGGTAGGTAAAACAGCACTGTTAAAATGTTCCATATAATCAGAAGCAATCCTTTGGAATCTAGGTGAAATATCCCCAGAATACCAACAATTTGGATATCTGTCCTGGACTGGGACAATTGACAATCAGAAAAATAAGAAGGAAGGACTGTGGGATGGAAATAGATTTCAGTGTCCTTTTACATTAACAACTTTGTTACAAAGACAGTATCATTTTGAGTCACTTCTTAACTTGTGATTAGCTTTAGTTGCTTTTCCCATTTTTTCCCTCCTACAGTCCATATCTGAATAGTTGAACATCTCCATCGATAACAGAGGTATTACAGACCAAACTACATGGAAGGAAGATGGTGGCACAGCTTTTTAAAAAAAAACAGCTGACCCTCCAGCTGGAGTAGACAGCCTCAGATCTTGCACAGAGATGCCCTTATATCATAGTCAACTTGATGTACAAATTTTTACATTAGCTTAAGAAAATTATTAAATTTCTGGCTCTGAGATAGCTTTTTGTTGACATGTATCCCTGAAGGAATGTGTTGTCCTCCAAAAAATTGTTATTTCCATTATAAAAGTTACATTGAACTTAGAGGTATGAGAAGGAGTTCAACACATTGCACTTTGTTTAGTTGTTATCCTAAGTATATGCTTCAGAAACAACTTTCTAATCTTGGAAAAGTAAGATATGACTATTGTAAAACTATGCTGAGCAGTTTGTCCTTTGACTTTTTAACCTTTAGACCAACTCATCAGA